TGCACCCCTGGTGAGCCCCCGGGGCTGGGCGGGCTGCTGCGGGACCTCAGGGGCCGGGTTCCAGGCCCGCCTCGGGGCCAGAAGCCGATGCCACTCGCCTCCTTCGTGGACTTGCATTAGAACCCATTCCCCGTGCTGGGCCCACCCGTGTTCAGGGAGGGGCCTGGGTCATGGGCCTCCAGCAGGCTCGTGGGCCACTGGAGAGAGGCTCCAAGTGTCATGACCCCAAGCCAGCTGCCTCCTGGGTGCCCGGGCCTGCTGCAGGCATTTGAGGGGCCTGGGCACACCAAGTGAGTGGTGGTAAACTCGTGCGCGTGTGGAGGTGGTACGTGGTGTGTGCCCCCGTGACGCCTGTGTGTTGCGTGATACCTAGAAGTGAGCAGTCCTCTGCCCTCTGTCCTGCTGAGCCATGGCACGCAGGAAAGGGTGAGGCCTGGGTGCTGAAGGGGCTCCGGATCCCCACCACCACTCCTCCACCTGAGGGTGTCGCCACTCGGGGGGAGCCCCAAGACTGCCCCCGGTTTGGGGCGAGCGAGGGCGAGGGCCCCTCCCCAACTGGCCCTTCGTTCTGTGTCCCCTGGCAGATGGTGAGCGTGATCGTCCAGGACGAAGGGGTCGACGCCATCCCTGTCAAGGTCCTCAACTGTGACACCATCTCCCAGGTCAAGGAGAAGATCATTGACCAGGTGTACCGCACGCAGCCTTGCTCCCGCTGGCCCAAGGCTGACAGTGTGGTCCTCGGTGAGCACCACCCTCGTGTGCCTGGCTCTGTGCCCGTGGAAGCCCAGTCGGCCAGGTCGGGTGGGGGATAGCGAGAGGAGGCCCGGACAGGGTGGGCTGTGGCCGGGTTCCAGGAGCTGGGCTGTGTCCTCCCACAGAGTGGCGTCCTGGGTCCACAGCCCAGATCCTGTCAGACCTGGACCTGACCTCTCAGCGGGAGGGCCGGTGGAAGCGCGTCAACACGCTGATGCACTACAACGTGAGTGTGGCGGCCGGGCGGGCCGAAGCCCCTGCTGAGGGCGGGGCAGGCGGGCCGCCCTCATGACTCTGTTCCCCAGGTCCGGGATGGGGCCACTCTTATCCTGTCGAAGGTGGGGGTCTCCCAGCAGCCTGAGGACAGCCAGCAGGACCTGCCTGGGGAGCGTGAGTCCCTTCCCCTTGTCCGGGCCCCTCTGGCCTCTGGAGGTCATCGTGAGCCAGCGTCCGCCCCATGCCGCCGTCTCGGGGGAGCTGTGAGCCCGGCGTGGGACCCAGGCCCCGGGCCCCGGTCCTCGTCCTTCAGCACCCCCCTCCCCCACAGGCCACGCCCTCCTGGAGGAGGAGAACCGGGTGTGGCACCTGGTGCGGCCAACGGACGAGGTGGACGAAGGCAAGTCCAAGCGTGGCAGCATGAAGGAAAAGGAGCGCACCAAGGCCATCACCGAGATCTACCTGACCCGCCTGCTCTCGGTCAAGGTGGGCCGCGGAGGGCGTGTGGGAGGCAGACCTGGGACGGCGCCAGTGGGACGCGCTGAGCCCCGCTCCCGCCCCGCAGGGCACGCTGCAGCAGTTCGTGGACAACTTCTTCCAGAGCGTGCTGGCGCCTGGCCACGCGGTGCCGCCCGCAGTCAAGTACTTCTTCGACTTCCTGGACGAGCAGGCAGAAAAGCACGACATCAAGGACGAGGACACCATCCACATCTGGAAGACCAACAGGTGTGGGCTCCGTGCCTCCACCCGCCCCGCCCGCCCTGCTCCAGGCCTCGGCGGCCCCTCACACCCTGTCGTCCCGCCTCAGTTTACCTCTCCGGTTCTGGGTGAACATCCTCAAGAACCCCCATTTCATCTTCGACGTGCACGTCCATGAGGTGGTGGACGCCTCCCTGTCGGTCATCGCACAGACCTTCATGGACGCCTGCACACGCACAGAGCACAAGCTGAGCCGCGTAAGTGCAGCTGCGGGCGGCCCAGGCCGCTTCCTGGCAGCGCAAAGCATCAGGGGAGGGGGCTGTGGTGCAGGTGAGGAGGTCGCTTTGGGGCGTGGATTTGCACAGCGGGGGTTGGAGCTCAGTAGAAAGACAGGTGCAGGGTACCTGGGGCGGAGGGAGGCCCCCTGGGCAGTGGACCTGTGGCAGCCTGGGACCCCGAGCTCCTTCCCTTCCGTGAGAGAGAAAAAGTGAGTTTTACTATTAATCACAAAATGACGAAAACACCGTCAGGTCTGTGGATAGGTAGGGCAGCTACCGCCGTTGGACCCCCATCCCCCGCACACCCCTCTTTCTCTGGGTATCCTGAGCGCGTGCAGGTGTCTCGGCCTGGGTGTCACTTGGCTCTGACCCCCACAGGACTCTCCCAGCAACAAGCTACTCTACGCCAAGGAGATCTCCACCTATAAGAAGATGGTGGAGGAGTGAGTCCCCCCCACCCCCCAACGAGGCCAGAGCCTGGCTGCCCACCCTCAGCCCCCACCCAGCGGGGCCCCCGGGCGGTGCAGGCCTGTGATCAGGAGGTGGGGCCCGTGGGTAGCTTCGGGTCCAGCGTCCGGGAGCCACCGCCCCCCCCCCCGCACCGTTCCGGTACCCGCCCCCTGCGGCCCACCCTGTGTAACTCCCCCTCCCCTCACAGCTACTACAAGGGGATCAGACAGATGGTGCAGGTCAGCGACCAGGACATGAACACACACCTGGCAGAGATTTCCCGGGTAAGGGTGGCACAGGGGACCCACAAGCTGAGCCCCCCCCAGGATTAGCCCTCCACCACCCCTGCCCCCCCGGAAGGCCCTGCTGCGCGGGCCAGGAGACTGCACGGGGGGCGGGCAAAGTTGTGCCCACAGGGTAGAAAGGAGAGGCGCAGACGAGGGGGCTTGGGGGGCGGCGGGGCTCGCGAGCAGCTCTGAGCCAGCCCCGCCTGCCGTGGGTCTGCATGGGTGGGAGGCTCTCTGTCCGCGGTGTGCCGTGGCTGTGCGTGTCACGACTGCCGGGGGGACCCTTCGCGTCTGCCTGCTCCACTGGGAGACAGCCTCCTGTCCCTGGGTCACGCAGCCCTTCCGCCACCCTCCCAGGCGCACACGGACTCCCTGAACACCCTCGTGGCCCTGCACCAGCTCTACCAGTACACGCAGAAGTACTACGACGAGGTAGGGGTCCGGTCCTTCCAGGACGGCCGTGCTCACCCTAACCCTGACCCTGACCCTGGCCTGTGCTCTGACGTGACCCCTCCTCAGATCATCAACGCCCTGGAGGAGGATCCCGCCGCCCAGAAGATGCAGCTGGCCTTCCGCCTGCAGCAGATCGCGGCTGCGCTTGAGAACAAGGTCACGGACCTCTGACTGCGACCTCCACCGTCATGGTCTCGGGACACAGGTGTGTGACACCCACTGCCGGGCGCTGGGCGGCCCCGGGGGAGCACGGCCAAGCGGGCAGGACTCAGCCCTTCTCTCTCTGGCAGAGGAAGAGCCCCCGGGCTTCCGAGTGTGTGCGTGGCAGGGGGGCCCCCACCTCAGCATTTGTAGCCTCATAGCACCCTTCTCCTGAGCAATAGTGCCGGGCGCCCACCAGCACCAGTTCCCTCCTGCAGAACCAGCATCGGGGGTGTCTCCTTCAAGCCTCCTGAGTGATTCGAAAACGTGCCTTATGTCCCCGGCGCCACGCTGGGTTGCTGGGGGCAGTCGGGCCTCAGCCCCCCTCCCCAGGCACCAGCAGCCGCCTCAGATACCTGGGTTGGGCCTTTTGGGGTGAGGTCTGAGTGCCCTCGGCCCCCAGGACCTAGTGCCCAGACTCTGTCCGTCTGCCCTACCTGGACTGGGGCAGAAAAGTGGTACGATGCCTTCCTGACCTCGCTGGCCTGCCCTGCGGGGCACTGGCACTCCCGGGGGACTCCGTGCTGCAGGCCCCACCTCAAAGGTCAAGCTGGACGTCAGACGTCGAGGCCCAGGCGGCCAGAAGGGACCCAGCAGACTGGGGATCAGGGTCCCGGCCTGTCAGACAGGCTGACCTGGAGGCCCTGCCCAGGTCCGGGGGGCCGGGAGCAGCTCCGCCAGGACACCCGCAACCCTTTTTGTAAATCTTGTTAATTGTCGATCAAATACAGCTGTCTTTTTCACTCTGCTGGTTGGCTGGGTTCTTCCCGGGGCTGCCGACCCGCCGTCCCTACACACCTGCCCCGTTTTGGTACCGGGCCTGTCCTGCCCACGGCCTCCCTTCCTGTGCACTCCTGGCCCCAGATGCTCACCTGAAGGTGGGCCCGTGTGGCCTCGCGCACCCACCCCACAGTCCCTGGCTCCCCTGGGCCAGGCCTGCTGGGTGTGCTGAGGCAGCCCGTCCACGGCCACCAGCTCGGCCGAGTCCACGCCTTCCTGCTGCCCCAGCAGGACAGGACGGTGGTCAGGGCTGGGAGGTGAGCGCTGGGGTGCGAACCTCTCCCAGAGGCACATCCTGGTGCACCCCAGCACTGAAAGTGATCCCGAGGCAGGTGGGGGTTCCAAGGGCACAGGGCGGCGGCCCCGCCCCCCACGGTGCGGGATTGGGCCCGCTTGGGCGCCACCTGGTGGCAGGGGTGGGCGTGGTGCGAGCTCTCAGGGACCTGTTTTCTCCTTCCTGAGGTGCGGTGCCTCACAGGTGTGGTCCACCCAGCACACATTTAGTAAGGCCCTACTGGGTGCAGACCCCACTGGACACGGTGGTTCCTGGAGGGAGGCCCTGTGTCCCCCTGCTCGAGGCTGTGGGGCCATTAGGGTCAGCTCCTCCTGGGGTCCCAGGCACCTTTGTTGTAGGAAGGAGGGGCTTGTCCCGGAGGCAGGCCATGTGGGGAGGCAGACTGCTCCCAACCCCCGTGTTGCACACAGGGCAGGAGCCGTGAGATGCGCTCCTCTGTGACCAGTCAGGCACACGTACCGTGACCACACGGGCGTGCGCGTGCGCGCGCACACGTAGCACCAGCGCGTTGGGCCCGTCACTTGTTCACTCAACACGCGTGGTCCTGGGCACTAGGGACACAGCAGTAAAGGCGGCAGAGAGGGCCTTCCTTGAGGGAGCCCTTGTGTTCCAAGAATACCAACCCTAGCAGAAAAGGGATTTAGTGGCTCCGTAAAGGCAAGTGAAGGGGTCCAGCTTCAGATATGGCTGGATCCAGGTGCTCACATGTCTTTGGGTTCCATCTATCTGAACTTCTTCCCAACACGTGCTCCTTTATTCTCAGACACCTGGGATGCTGGTGGCAGGGCACCCCAGCCTGTGTCTCCTCCACTTGGGGCACACCATTGTGGCTGAGAAGTCTCAATGGGCTTGGCCTCGATCATAAGCCACTTCTGTACAGGGACTGCCCGTTTTGAGCCACGTGGAACACCCCTCCCACGTGGAAGGGGTACTAGGCAAACAGCTGACGTCCCCCACCCCAGGGCCCCTGAAATGACAGTGTGCTATGGTTAGGACCAGAAACCCAGATGGGCAGGAGATCTGAACAAGGTACTTCTAAACCAGAGCAGGGGCGGCATGGTCTGGGAGTGTTCACCCTGGGGGGAGCAGGGGCAGGGGGAGCAGGAACCTGGAGGCCTGGCTTCTAGACTGGACCCCTGTGGGCCACTTGCTCCTCGGCCAGGCATGAGATGGAGAAGAGTCAGTGAGCCCACCTTCTGCTGCGGGTCTAACAGGTGGGGTTCCTTCCCCCTCGGAGGACAGGAGTGTGAAGGGATCCAGGGGCCATGCTTTCATGGGGCCAGTGAAGAAACGGCATGAATGTTGGGTGCACGGGGGTGGGCAGGAGGCTGGCAGACCAAGGGGTGACCCAGCCTTCTTCACTTTCCACTTCCCACTTTCCTCCCAATGCAGTGGGAGTGGGGAGATGCAGGGATGGAGGTGACCAGCGACCTCGATGACCTTTCCTTCCAAATTGCAGAAAACAGCCCACGACCACACCCTGCTTGCTTGTTAAGAGCAGGAGACCTCACCTAAATCATGGGGCCCCTGTGACAGGGCCAGATAGCATTTTAGGAAGCTCGTTCTGACCTCAGGGAGAAGTGCAGCCAGGAGACCAGTGTGGGGCTGAAGAGGGGATGGCCCGGACCTGTGGAGAGGGGACAGTGGACACGGAGGGTGGGGGCATCTCGGTACTTAGGGGTAGCTGTGAATCGCAGTAGAGAGTGGAAGGAGGCGGGGGGGGGGGTTCCGGGGACCCAGGGCTCATAGGAGGCTATTCCGTGCCGCCCCATCCGTGCCCCATCTGCACACCCACTGGCAAGGCCTGCCACTCCTGGCTGCCCTCCATCCACACCACCCTCCCTCCAGGCTCAGTCCTCGACCTGCCGGCCGGGATAACGCTGTGAAAACACACAACACAGTGCGAATAAAAATCTGAAATCCTGTCGGTGCTCGCTGCCCAGCCTGCCACGGCCCTGCACCCATGGCCGCCACTCTCCATTCTGGTCTTCAAGTCAGGCTAAGTCCTGAGAGGCAGGACCGTCTGGAAGCTGGCCCAGCATCACTGCTGTCACCTCTGGGGGCTCTGACTGTGCTCCCCCTGCCACCCCACCACCACGGGGAATCCTCCCTGGTCATTCCCCTGCAGTATCACAGCCCCCTCCCCTCCAGAGGGCAACTTGGCCGAGACTGATCTGCCGGGGCAGCGGGGCACACTGCGGGCGCCCCTGTGCCCAGGGCAGGTTTGCTGAACGCTGAGGGAGGGTCTCAGTGTGGTGTGTGACCGCTGAGCAGGGCAGTGAGGCCGCTCCCCTCTGGTCAGCGCTGACCACTCGCAGCTGGGATTCCGGGTCGACAGACACCCCTGCCCCCGTGGGGGAGAGGGACAAAGGCCGCCCCTCCCTGCAGCGCGGCCGGTTCCCACGGCCCGCTGCTCCCTCCCGCCTCCTCTTTCCCTGCTTTAGCTGAAGCTCCATTAACTCCGCACAAAACCTCGGCTGCTTCGCCCGGCGGGCTGCCGGGAAAGTGCCCCTAGCGTGAGGCCCCGAGGAGGCCCCGGGTGGGGCGGCTGGGGGAAGGGACACCGGCGTCCTCACCCCATCCCCGCCGACCTCTGCTGGCTCCCAGAGAGGGAACTGAGGCCGGAGCAGCTGGGACTGGGACCCTGCTTCCTTTCTCACTTTTGGGCTCCCCCCAGGGTCCGGATCTGCCAGGCAGAAGTGTCCGTTTGCCTGGTACTGTGTTGACATGTTTTATTTTAATTTGGTTATCAATATTTGAGTATCAGGAGATTTCACATAAAAACTCAGGTTTTAGTTTGTTTCAGAAAAGTGGAAGGTTGGGACCTCAGCCTGATTTCCCCCTCTCCTGGGAGGGGGCAGCCCAACCTCTACCCACTGCTTCTGCAGGGTGGAGGGTCAGGAGGTATTTATATCCCAGGCAATGTTCTCTCCGAACCACTGTCACTTTAAGTGGGAAGTAGGAATAATCACTCTGACCTAGAGGTCTAGACAGATGCTGAACTAGGGAACAGGCCCCTTCACAGTTTCTGCCGCCTGTGCGAACTACACCTTCCAGGTGGAGAGAGGAAATGTGCGGTGCTGGGCAGAGTTCACCGATCTCGGGGAACGGTGGTTTCCAACTAGGGGAGCCCCGCAGGACCTAGAAAAGTCAGGGTGGGCTTCCTCGAAGAGTTGACAGCTGAGGGAGCTGTTTCAGAAGGAGGAAAGGTACCAGGCCCCAAAGAGGACCCATCTGGGGAGAGCTTCTTATGGGCCCAACACCCCAAAGGCCCCTGGTGCCGCCGCTGTCCCTGGTCCTGAGGGCTGGTCTCCGGGCCTGGCCCGGCAGTCACGCTTCTCCCAAGGGGCAGCAGGGCCCAGCCCTGGAGCCAGCCCGTGCAGGACGCCACAGCAGACCGTGGAAGGGTTACTGGGAAGCGAAGCACACCGCCAAGGCCGGATGGCCTCCACGGGGGAGGGAAGGCAGGCTGACCCAGGATCCAAGGCACTTACATCTGCCCGCGGCGGACGGGCCCTATGCAAGCAAATGCCTAGCTTTTATTAGGGGGCATTTTCTATTCTGATAAAAAATACCTCCCATGGCTTGTCCCTGGCTTCTTTGATTTAGAGGATTCTACCTTCATTTCTGTGGGAGCACGCTGCGGGGAGAGGTGCGGTGCAGGTGAGAGGAGAGTAGGGATGCACGGACCAGAGCAGGTTGAAGGCGCGTTAACCGCAGGACCCGGACTAGGCGGATGGCGGGATGCGGGGACGGGAGGTGGACAGCGGGGCGGTGCCGGCGTTTGTGCCGGCAGGGGAGGGTGCGGGGAGCTGAGTCCTGAGAGGTGGTGGCGGCCTGGTCCGGGCGGTGCCGCGCCGAGGACCCACGCGGCGGACATTGGGGAAGTGCGTGGACCCCGGGAGGTGGGCGGTAAGTCGTTCCACGGCATCCCCTTCCCCCCACCTCCCCACCCCGCCCCGGGAAGCCCGGTTTCCGCTCGACCGCCGCCGCGGAGGGGCAGGAAGCCGCGCGTTCGTCTGCGGGAACCCCCTCCCCGGCTCCGCCCCGCTCCGCTCCGCCTCCGGCCTCCGGCTCGGGCTCCGCGGGGCGGGGGGCGCGGGGCGGGGCGCGGGCCGAGCTGCGGCCGCTCTGGACATGTCGGGCCCGCGCGCCGGCTTCTATCGGCAGGAGCTGAACAAGACGGTGTGGGAGGTGCCGCAGCGGCTGCAAGGGCTGCGCCCGGTGGGCTCGGGCGCCTACGGCTCCGTCTGGTAGGGGCGGGACGGGGCAAGGGCGGGGGGATTGAGCGCGCGCCCCCTCCCCGCCCGTGCGGGGTTCCCGGCTTGGGGAGGGGCTCGCCCTGCCTCCGCCCCCGGGCCTTACGCAGATCCGAGGAATGAATGGGGGGTGGGGGCGTGAGGGAAACTTTCCTACCCGAGCCTCTCCCCGGCGGGAGAGGGGTCGTCCTCCCGCCCCTCCAACCCGGAGCGTCCCCCTCCGGGCCCGAATCCTGCGGCGTCACAGCTGGCGAAAGGGCGGGCAGGTCCCCCGGGGCCCTTGATGTCTGAGCATGCATCGGGGGTGCCCCCGGTCAAGGGCCAGGCAGCCCTGGGCTCCGGCAGGTACCCCCACCCCAGGGTGGGTAGCTCTGTTTGAAAAGGAAGAGCCCAGATTGGGGGCTGGGGGGCAAG